CTAGAACCTCATCCCAAAAGAGGAACAACCTCAGTTGTGTCAAAAAAATACAAGGAGGGGGTTGGGAGAGCCAACCTGTTAGACCTGGTACTGTTACTGACTCAGTGTAACNCTAGAACCTCATCCCAAAAGAGGAACAACCTCAGTTGTGTCAAAAAAATACAAGGAGGGGGGTTGGGAGAGCCAACCTGTTAGACCTGGTACTGTTACTGACTCAGTGTAATACCTGGAACAAATCACTTTCCCAAATCTGGGCTTCAGTTTCCTCATCTGTGAAATGAGGGGTTATGACTAGGATTGTAGTTACTCAGTTTAGAGGTGGAAAGGGACCCCAGAGGATATTAGTCTAATACCACCTCATTTTTATAAAATGAGGGAACTTAGTGCCAGGGAGGTTAAGCAACTTGCTCAAAGTCACACAGGTACACCAGAAACGGGATCTGAACCTGTGTCCTCTGACTCTAAAGATAGTGTTCTTTCCGCTCCACCATGCTTCCCCTCGCTATAAGATACTGGTTTTATATTAAGTAACCTATGTGCCCTCATGAGAGGGACAATAAATTCATTGAAGGTTGTTGTTGTTTATTTGCTTGTTTGCTTTTTACTAAATTAAGATTTTAGTTCCATGTAAGGAAGAACATCTTAACAGAGCTCTTCTAAGACATTGTCTCATTAAGCTGTGAGCTTCTGTTTATTGGGAATCAAGGCTGAGTGACCTTCTATAAGAGGTATTGTAGAATGGAATCATAGTTCAGCTAAAGGTTGGCTAAGAGTACTTCCAACTCTAGGTTCCTCTATGAGAGAGACAGACAGAAAGAGACAGACAGAGACAGAGAGACAGAAAGAGACAGAGGCAGATGGAGATAAAGACAGAAAGAGATAGAGACAGGGACAGGGAAGGGGAGAGACAGAGACAAAGAGATAGACAGAGATATGGCATCAGAGTCAGAAGACCAAGGCATGTGTTTTAGTAGCATTGCTTACTAGACATGCAACTTGGGTCAAGTTCTCTTTACCTTTATGAACAGCATGTATAAAACAGTAATGACAATGGCATTATCTGATGTTAAGTGGATAAAATGAGACAAAGTTTGGGAAAATGTTTTGTAACTGGAAAGAGGTTTATGAATAATGACAATAATAGCAGATATTTAGTTTAATACATTTAGAATCCGTAATTTCACTGGTGTGAGCACACACATACCTCCATCACCAATGTAGAGCACTAATTCTCCATTCCTAAGAAGACAGTTTTCTAGAAATTTGTATTTTTTTTTTAAACCATCACTTCATGGTTGCCATCTGGGGATGTGAAAGTGTCATGCTTCCCCACCTGGCTATTTTCCAGGACTCCATAATCTCCAGAAACTTATTATCCTTCAAGGTGACCTCAGTTCTGAAACTCACACCTCCTCAGTAACCCCTGCTCCACCTTCCCTGCTTTCAGCTTCTTTTTATGTGCTTCCCCCATTAGACTGTGAGCTCCTCAAGGGCAGGGACTGTCTTTTGCCTTTCTATTCCTGTACTTTGCATAATACCTGGCACACAGTATGTGCTTAGTAAATGTTCACTGACTACTGCAGTGAGAAAAGACATATTATACTGTCCATTACTGGGCTCAAAGCCTCTGTGAGTCTCAGTTATCTGTAAAATGGGGATGACATAATTTACTCAGGCTGTCTCAGAGAGTTGTGAGAACAAAAAGAGGCTCTGTGGAAAGACCACTGATCTTGACAACAGAGAGTCTGGGTTTGGATCTCAATGTGTCCACTTAATGTGGGGCCATCCTGGACTAATGGCTTCGCTTGTCCAGGCTTCAGTTTCTTCTATTAAGTGAGGAAGTTGGTCTAGATTAGAGGTTCTTAATGTGAGACCCCCCAGGCATCCATGGATAAATTTTAGGGGGCTTTGAACTTGGGTGAGAAAAAATACACCTTTGTTTTCAATAACCTTGAACTGAAATTGATCATTTCTTTCAATTATGAATTTTTAAGAAATTCTTTTGATAAGAGGTCCACAGGTTTCAACAGATGACCAAAGGAGTCCATGACACCAAAAAAGTTTAAGAATATCTGCTCTAAACAATCTCTCAGATCTAATGATCCTTACTAGATTGATAGGACTTCTCCAGGCTGTCATAATCCAGGGTAACCAGGACACCATTATCAGACACCAGGGGACCTCAGGAAAGTGTCCTTTATCTGGCTCATAATAACACAGTGCTTGAAAATTTACAAAGCAAAATCTCCATTAGCTCACTTGATTCTCATAACAATCCTTTGAGATACTTAGCTTATACATTTGTTGTTGTCCAGCTGTCTTAAGTCATGTCTGATTCCTTGTGACCCCCACCTTGGGTTTTCTTGACAAAGATACTGTAGAGGTTTGCCATTTCCTTCTCCAGCTCATTTTAAAGATGAGGAGACTGAGGCAGACAGGGTTAAATGACTCACCCAGAGTCACACAGCTAGTGTCTGAGTCTGGATTTGAACTCAGAAAGATGAATTTTTCTGACTCCAGGCCTAGCACTCCATCCACTGTGCCACCTAGTTGCCCAGGATACACATAGTAGGTACTTAACAAATGTTTTTTTGACTCAGTGACTGACAAATAGGATCACAAGGGTGAAGCNTAGTTGCCCAGGATACACATAGTAGGTACTTAACAAATGTTTTTTTGACTCAGTGACTGACGAATAGGATCACAAGGGTGAAGCTATGATACACATGTCTGGGATTCATAGGGCATAGGATTTCGAGATGCCTAGGTCCTAAGATCATCTAGCCAAACTCCCACATTTTACAGAAAATGAAAACAAAAACTGAGGTTCAAAGATAGGAAAGAATTTTCTCGTGTTGACATAAGTAATTTGTAGCAGAGCTAAGATTCACACCTAGTTTTCCACCTTCTTCTCCACTCCCACCAACTTCCTTTTCTTTTCTTTCTCCCCTCTGCTCCCCCTACTTTTCAGTAGGTTTTTATGTGTAGTCTCTCCTCATTAGAATGTAAGCTCCTTTAAAGCAGGGACTCTCTGTCTCTGTCTCTGTCTCTGTCTCTCTCTCTCTTTCTGTGTGTATCTCTGCTTCTGTTTATCTGTCTGTCTCTCTGTCTTTCTCTCTCTCTGTCTCTCTCTCTCTTGTATTTTCATTCCCAGCCAATACCACAATGCCTGGCACAAAGTAAGTGCTTAAGAAATGATTGTTCACTGGACTTGTTGACCAGGTCCTTTGTATCCTGTGGGCGGAAAAACCTAAGCTTCCAGCTGAGATTTACTTGGGATCTGACAAAGTCATTTTACTCATCAAGTACAATCAATTTCAAAGGGTAAATAAAGGAAGAGTCCTTTAACCAGACAGAGGAAAATAGATTTTACTGGCAAATGATTAGTTACAGGCAAAGGCACAATCAATAATGCCCACAAGATGAAAAAATATGAACAGTATGAATTTTTTCAGCATGTTTTAATTGCACATTTTGGCATATCAATTGGCTCAAAGAAAAGAGTATCTATACAGTGAGAAAGCGTATCTTGAACTAGAGGCAAAAACAGGGAATTTTTTTCCCCAAAGCACAGATAGTTTTTATAATCTCTGATCTGGGGCCTTGTGCTTCTGGGAAGA